TATAGGCAGCACCGCGGAAACACGCCAACCGAAGTGGGACACGTGGCGCCTGGGTACCGGTACCTACCACGGTATTTAAGGTGCCTCGATTCCGTCGCCGCATAATCTTGGCAAGGGTAGCCGGGTCGGAGCCACGAACGTCCAGCGGGGAGCTCGGGACGACTACAGGTTGCGACCATCGGCTGAGCCCGATAATCGGCAGCTTACGAGGGGCATACGCATCAACGGACTACGTCCGTCCTTCCATACTTCGTGCCACGGGAACATGTAGACCAGACGAACGTCTCCCCCCGCAGCTGGGGTAGGACGCGAGCAGCATGAACATCCGTGTCTACGCATACGACGGATGAACATCGTCATCAAAGGACGGCCCTGGGGAGTACGTTCGTAACTCCGTACTTCAGAAGTTTTCCATTGACCAAGGAAGCAACCACCGGCGAACGTCGTCCCGCGACATTGAGGATGGCTACGGACGGCGACTGGCGGTATGCCCGCACTTGTCATGATCTGAACGTCGCTGTCAGAATACGGATGACAGCATCGGCGCCGAGCGTCGGACCCAAAGTTAGACCTTAGCAGTACCTCCGCGTACTGGGGTACGTACGGAGGTTTGGCAAGGGGACGCCGTTGCCCAAAACAAATGAAGAACAGAAATGAACGTCCTCGCAGACTTTTACTTTGCAACGAAGTGTATCGAGGCACGGAAGGAGATTCCACATAACAGGCGATAAGAGAAACAAAAACAATGAAGTAAAGATCATGAACGTAGAGGCAATTTTCTTCAGCTCTAACGGCTGGGCATTACAAATCGAAATAAAAAGAAGAACGAATTACATTTACACCATAAAAGGGGACTCGGGCCGGCTGCCTCCCGGAATCTGCTCCTCCTCCTCGGCTTCAGGCTCAGGGGTCGGGGGTTCCGGAATTTCTCCTCTGGCGTTGGCCTCCTCCCGCCGTTGGTCCCTCCCCAGCTTCCCCAAGGCTTGAAGCAGCAGATCGTCGTCTGTGTTCGCAGCCAACTCGAAGTCGGCCCCGTGCAGCCTTGAGAAAATGGGAAGGGTGGCCTTAACCCCCTCATTGTAGCTAGCGGCGAAGGAACTGTCACCAACCTCGTAGAGGAACTTGTGGGACAGGGGGGAACTCTCCAAAATCCGGACGCCAGACGTTGCCGGGGGGAATCTTCGCCAGCGCCGCAGAGAACACATCACCGAAGGCCCCGGCGCAGTAATCCTTGGCAGAGTCCATAAACTCCCCGGTGTTCCTATAGCCGGAGGTGTCGACCAGCCACTCCGGAGTGGCATCCTTAGCAGCAGGGAGCACCGGAACAAGCTTAAAGCCGGCTCTCTCAAGGCCGGCCAGCTGGCTGCGAGACTCAGCCTGCAGGGCTGCAACCTCCTTTCCCTTGGCCGTAGCTTCCGCCTCAGCTCGGCGAGCGGCCTCCCGGGCTGTGGCCACAGCTGCGTCAGCCTTGGCCTTGACCTCTCTCAGGTCGGCCTCCCTGGCAGCTTCAGCCTGGAGGACTAGAAGCCCAGACTGGATGACAGAAGGAAAAATAAAAACAGTGGTCAGAAGGTGAACGTCAAGGGAAAGATGTACTCGGATCTAGTAATGAGAAATTACCTGAAGAGCGGCTGCCAGGGCAGCGCTGGTCGCCTCAGAAGACGAACGGCGGGGTAGCTCGAGACCAGCCTTGAGGGCCATCTCCCTCCAGAGTTCCTCCGCCGGGCGGCTCAAGGGCAGGGCGCCGGCGTCTTCAAGCAAAGGGCCAGTGGAGACTACCTCACGACCCCTTTTTTGTTTTTTCTCTGGGGCTTTCTTGGCCCCTTTCTGAGAAGCCGCCTTCGTGGAGACGGCCGGCGGCGGAAGGGCAGCCTCGAGAGCAGGGGCCCCAGAACCCTGAGCCAGCATAGTGGCGATTAAGTGCTGCTCACCCTCAGCAGTTCGTCGGGCAGCATCAGAAGCCGAGGAGTTGGAGTCCGAGGCAGGGGCGTTCTTGGCCTTCGCCATTGCTGCTTTAGCATCCGCCGCCTTGGCCTTCCTTATTTTCAGACACTCAGCATGATTCATCTGAGCTCTATCGGGTGGAGAACCTGCAGGAAACAATAAAGGGTTAAAAGACGAGCGGAGAATATAACAAGACACTCACCTCGAAGGACAGGGACCGCCCGGTGCCCCGAGACGAGCGTCGAAGGGTGGAAAAAGTCCAGGGACACGGGCGGTACCTATGCCTGCCCCCGAGAGTGCCTCGAAGGTCAGATAGCCGGCTATGGGGCGAATGCCGCCCTGCAGGATTTCCTCCACGGCCTCGCTCATATCATCGGTCAACTCCGGCGACTCTATCTTTGGGGGATAGCCATTCCAACGAACTGGGAGGGGAGGGCCGTCATAACGGAGGAAGAAGAACCGGTTTTTCCAATCATGAATGGAGGAGGGGTAGCTCTTGAACAGCCTCCTCCCCGGACGTGCGGCCACACTCAGATAACCGTCGGAATTCTGAGGGGTGATCCGGAAGAAGTAGTGGAACAGGTCCAAGGTGGCATCGACTCCCACAAGCTTGCAGCGCACCAAGAAGGCCGATATGAATCGATATGAGTTTGGCATGAACTGAGCCGGGGCCACCTGGAAGCAGTGGAAGAACTCCACATAGAATGGATGGAGCGGAAACCGCAGCCCGGCCTCTACGGAATCCAAGTGAAGCATGATCATTCCCGGACGTCTCCTCATCACATGCTCAGCACCTCTCACGCTTCAGACGAACGGCGGGGGGAAGAAAGTACGGATTTTGTTGAGGGCCATGCGGGAGAGGACTTGGTCGTGGTCAAGGGTGCTCCTGATTGGGCAGATGTGGCGCTCCATGTCCGTAGGGATGCCAAGGTCATGCACCTCCATATCAGAACCGGACTCGGCCTCCTCCCCAAAATCATAATCGGCTGAGCGCTCATTCAGGGGGACCGCGTCAATAACATCAACTGCCCCATCAGCATTCCCATCCCCGGCGTCGCTCCCACTACCTTGGGAAGCATCTTCCGGCTCACCATCGGCCCGGATGGTCCCCACCGTCGTGGCCGAACCAGAAGCCCCAGAAACGCTGGCTTTTCCGGGGGAGCGCGCATTCACATTGTCAGAGGAGGAGCCCGAAGAGGAACCCGATGAACCAGAATAAGAGCTTGACGAAATCTCCATCGAAGTCATTTCGGCTAGAAGTCAGAACAAAGAAAAGAGGCAGAAGGGAAATTACCTTAGGGAAGAGACTGGCTGAACTCGAAAGCGGGGGAAAGAACTTGAAGAACAGCGGAAATTCAATAGCAAGGGAGCAGAAATTGGGAACCCTAATCCAGAGAGAAAACCCGGCATTTATAGGAGGAACACCGATGGGGGAACCAACGAGGGGCTGACACGTGGCAAGGAGCGTATTCTTGCTCACGCACCGTGCGTGGGGCGAAAGCGTAATGATGACATTTCCTCGGAAAAGGTTCCGCCGCTACAGCAGCCGTCACCTCATTTCCTGAACCGTCGACAGCTGTTAAGCACCATGACCATGAGCGTACGCTTCCACCGGATGCAATAAACATAAGTACCAAGGCACGAACGTCTACTTCGAGGAACTTCATACTTCCTTATGTCCTGCGCATGCTCAGAACATCAGAAGTGGGGGATTTGTGTTGGGTTAATGGCTCAAGCCGAGGTCCGGCCCATTAACCCCTTTTTACCAGACGCACGTCTAGTTAGAACACAAGGCTAGCACGCAGGCCCATGTTCCTTGAGGAGGGACGAACGTCTGGGGTTGGAGGTTCAGGCCCAATAGCTCATCCCGACGAACGTCTATGCGGGGACAAGGAGCAGGACCACGGGCCACCAGGGATGACGACGAACGTCTCCAGAGCAAGCCTATAGTCATCGGGGAAAACCCAGTACACGTGGTGAATATCCATCAAGGCCAGGAGACGAACAGCCGAAACCTCTTGAGGGTCACTTGGAGCAATCTAGCTCGCCTCCCGGGCGGACGAACGTCCCCACTATTTAGGCGGGAAACCTAGATTCTGGCGGGAAGTGCATTTAATGCTGAAGATTTGGTGGTTGGGACACCAGCGGTCCATAGGCCTCCACGTCAGCATAGCCACCTGCCCATTGGTGGGTATAAATAGAAGCATTTATTTCATTGTAAAGGGTTGGCAACTTTCTATTCTTAGCATTCTAGCTTTAGCATCCTTACTTGCAGCACTTCTAACTGCCTTGTAAGACGAACGGCCGACGTGCCTCTTTTAGCAAGTAGATTGTACTTAGGGGAGTTATTACGAAGTTAATAATACCTATTTACATTGCCTGCTATTTCCTCTGTTTCCTGATCCATCTGATAGTTGTTGGGCTAGATATTCACATACTCGTACACTCGCTCCACTCGAAATCTTTGGGCTTGCGTGTTGGGCCTGAAGGTTGAAGGAATAAACCTCAACAGTACTAAACAAAGCTCAAAAGCCTCGGGAAGATAAATACAATATCTGTCTTTACTACAAATCACAACCAAACTTAAAGTTTAGGCAATTACCAGCAACACATTAAGACACACACACCATAATAAACTGAACTACAACTAAATATCCGGACTCCGCGAAAAGATGCAGAAACACTAAGATGTTAGACAAATTCAGTCGTAGTACAACAAGAAAGACTCGTTAGAGGTGTAGAAATCTCAAATCCCATTAATCAATTAGAAAGATGATAAAACAAGCAAACAGAAATAAAGCAGAAACACATTCAAACCTTTAGTTTGAGAGCTTATTCAAAACCAAGCTTTGAGCCCTTTTAGTAAGCAAAGGATAGAGAATTTGGATGGCCAAGCATGGAGCAGACAGATGAGTGGCATACAATTGCAAGAGTAGTGTTCATTCACTAAATGATCAATCTCTATTCCAACTATGCTCAAATTTAAGTTCTTTTTTTTTTATACCCCAGAAGGCAAACCACCAAAATCAGTGGGGCAGAAGCCGGGGGTCAACTGCCAGAATTATATTAAAACCAATACGAGTACAATCAGAGAAGGGGACTATGCCTAAACTTCTCTAAAAGACAAAAAACCTCAAAGACAAAACAATACATTGAGAAGAATCAATCAAAAAATATAAGGTATTTCCATTGCATCAACCTTGATCGATCCATCAAGCTCTTTGGGAATATGTTTCCCCTTCTTCCACGAAAAAGGCTTAAGGCAGCCCAACTTAGCCACAATTTTCGCTGATTTATTAACATGGACCGACGAATAATTGAAACTCAGACCCGGCCCATTAAGGCCCACAACACCTGACCCCAACAGATTAGAATAGGAAACATCGATCTCCACATTTGGAAACCCCAATCCTTCAGACCACCGCACCGCTTGAGCCAAGATCTCTTCGTCATCAACACTCGAGCCGCTCAGAGGAAAGCCGTCCGCGGCCACCATCGCTCCAGAGTGGTCACGGAGAAGAAAGCCGGCAGAAGATTTCCCAAACTGCCTGAAGACCGCCCAATTAAGCTTCATGTTCTGATATCTCGGCTCAAATTTAAGTTCTACAATAAATAAAGCTATCTAAATGTACCCTGGAATGGTTATACTTGAAAGTCATTATCTTTAAAAAATGATGAACTGAAGGCAACAAACCTGGACGGTCGGTCACTCGTGCCATAGAAGCCTCTCCAACACTCTGTTTCTTCTTCGGCATTGCAGGATAGAGGTACGAAAAGCCTACTGTTAAGTGTTCACCACGCAAGAAACGACGATGAACAATGTATGAGAAGGACCTGACACCTAATCGACTATAAAAAATGAATAGGTAGGAGCGTCTGGTCGTGATGAGTCCCAAAACAGCCTTGAATTACAGAGCAAAACAACAAATTCCAGGATTTGAGCAGAAATTCTTTAGCCGTGAACAGTATATTTCGCAAAAATCAGAAATCGTTTTATGGTTGTTGTGCGTGAATCATCTTTCCAAGCTGTTCATAGATGGATTACGACCACGAACCAAGAAAAACAACAATCTCTAATACACCTAATCTCCCAAACTCAAGGAAAATCGCTCCATAACACTGTACAGATGAGAGAAAAAGCTGGATCGAGAAACCCAGGAAAGAGAAGCTCTCAAGTGTTTTCCTCTTCATGATAATACCTTAAACCATGCGAAGAAGGTAGGAAGGAAAGAAGCAGGTTCTGGCACTTTGTGGAATTGAAAGGGATCATTCAGATGTATAGTAATAGATATGGAATTGGGCCAGAGGTTTAACTGACGAGGACGGTAGATAGACGGTTAGACGTTAAGGATGAATAAAGCAGAAGATAAAATACAATGACTCAAGCACATAGTACACAAAAACAGGCCAAATATATATATATATATATATATATATATATATATATATATATATATATATATATATATATATATATAGGGGAAAAATCAAGTACAAAGTGTGCTTATTGTGCAAATATTTGTACGATGCACCTTGACGTTATTTGCATTGCATATTGAGGTTCAAAGTATTGCACATTATACAGTCATAAAAATAGCAGTTGCACATTAAGGTGCAACGAGTTGCACCCTAAAAAGTTGAGTTTTATTACAAAAATGCCACCTTGCCTTTATGTCCCTTGGATCAACTCATCGGACGGTCAAGATGAGTTTGTACTTTGTAAATTAAGAAGGCTTTGTATTTGATCTCTATTATATATATATATATATATATATGCAAATGTTAACTCTCAATATTACTAGAAATAAAATACAATAAATATGTTTATGAGATCATTGATCTGTAGATATGATTCAGTCCTTTGACTCCAAATCTAAAATATTAATGCAAAAATGTAATAATGAACTCTAAATTAAAATTACTTGTTCACATAACATATTACTCTTTATTTACTCATCTTTGACTTTTTAGTCAAACATGATAAACTTTGATTTACTAGTATTATTTTAATTAATATATTTATGAGAATCTTAATAAATTTATACTTTTATAATACTACCTCCGTCCCGCTAAGATGTTCCTGGTTTGACCTACACACATATTAAGGAAATAAACTTACCGGAGGGTAAAATTTACTGTTTTGACACTGTTTCGACACTGTTTGGCACTGTTTGACATTGTTTTACACTGTTTGACACTGTTTTGATGTAAGATAACTTTCCATTTAGGAAAATGAGAACTTCATTTTGGGACTGCTAAAAAGGAAAGCAAAAAGATCTTAGTGGGACGGAGAGAGTATTATTTTAACAAAGAACACTTTCATATCATTCTCATATTATCAATATTACCGAGTATAATTATATAATCAATCAAAGTTTAACATCATTGACTTGAAAAATAGTGTTTGGCTAAATAAAAACAAACAGACAGAGTACATACATTGTTTAAAGTTGAATTTAAAAAGCATTGCAAGAGATCAATCCTCCCTATGTATCCCCTCTAATCCATGTCTGTTTGAGTCAGCTTTTCCATCTCCACCTTGCCACTTCTCCCCAACTCTATATTTGTTTAATATCATACATTTCCAAACAATCACAATCGAAACTCTCACATCTTATCTTCAATACGTGATACTCACACATTTTGTCTGATCGTCTCATTTATCAAGTGACCTTTTGTAGTATGTCCCCACATCCAATACAATATGCACATGTTTCCCACACTCATACATTGTTCATTGTCCAATACTTTATGCCATACAACAAGACCATTATCACGAAACTCTTATTTGTTCATCCCTGAAATTTATTGTCTATGAAATTGCATTTTTCCTGACTGACAATTTTATCTATCGTTTAACTTTACAAAAAATTGTTGGAAATATGTACAAAAATTATACAATTGGATTGCTGGAGCCTGGAGGGACACATGTTATAACGGAAAGAGAAGCAAGCATGATTTAAATTGGACTAACCTTTTTTAGTGTTGTTTGTTTAAGTATTGTCTTACCTGATCGAGCAAAACATGATTTATTATTAAAAACAAAATCTAGTTTTATCTAGTACGTAGTATAATTTATTTAAGTTTGACATGATTTGATATGAGACTGAAAAATGATTCAATTAAATTATTCCAAGAAAGAAAGAAGAAACAAAAGTAGAAGAACAAGAAGAAAGAGCTCAAGGAAAATAAAAAGAAAGAAGAACAGGCAAATGACGAAGGCAAACATTTAAAAGAAGGGAAAAATAATAATGATGGAGTTTAATCCAACTACGAGAGCTATATCAACAAAAAAGATGAAATATGGGCAGCGTAAGGCGGTTTCTTATTATAATTCGGATCGGGGATCCCCTGGTGGGAAATATACAGGAAGTATTTATAGACTCCAGGAGCTAGTATTTCAGGAGGAAACTGATACAATAAATGCTATTAATTGTATTCTTAGTCGAATTAGTCTCCTGTAACATCTTGGACATTGTGCAATAATTATCTCCTTTAATTCTCCTGGTGGACATATCTTTTCAGTCCAATTTATCTGATTTTGCCTAGAAGCCTTTTTCAGGTTTTCATTCTAACGTCTTTTTTATTTTTCTTAACTCTCAACTCACTCAATTTAGTTACTTTTGCTTAGATTGCCCAATTTGAATTTTCAACCTAACTAGCACTTATTTATTTATTTATTTATTTATTTAAAGGTGAAGAAAGGTGAAGAAAGTACAAGTTAGAAGGTAGAAAAATGGGTACCAAGTGCCACCGCCATTACCGTCATAGCCATCACCATAGCTTCCATTGCCGCCATTAGGTCCACCAAAATTACCCCACTCAGAGGGCTACGATCAAAGTTGGCATGCATAAGATCAAATGCCTTGCATTGATCTTCCTCTACCTATTGAAAATTCAACCGTTGTTGCTCCTCCGAATGCTGAAAATTCAACCGTTTCGTTGTTGCTCGTGGAGTTGGGTAATTTACCCATCCATAGCCCTTAAATTGATGTTGAGGGTGTTAAAATTGGATTGGGGGTGTTGTGGGGAGGTGCGGGGATGTTTTCGCCCACCCATACGAACAAGAAAACGAACCCGAACAAGAAGAAACACCTCCCATACAACAAGAACAAGAAAGTACTAGTAACAATGTAATCTAGAAAGTAAAAATTTTAGAAACTAAAGGCGTACAAAATAGCATCATTATTTTTTGACTGAATAGCATCATTTTAGAAACTTATTATTGTGAATATTGTATTTAAATATTTTAAATAGTTATGTATTTTAGTTATTATTATCATTATCATTTAATTTTTACTTTTGTTGCATATTGTTTCTTTGTGTTTCTTTTTGTTAACGATTTTGAATTTTTTTGTTTTCTACTCTTTCATTATGTTTCTTGTTTTCGTTGATATTCATAAATCTAAGATAATAATTTTAAGTATATATATGGTTTTGCTTTTTAATAAATATAGGGGAGGGTTCTAATAAAAACCTCCCATAAAATGAAAACTCCTTATAATAAGAACTTTTAATCACAACATATCATTTATTGCAATCATTGCTTATGATTCACATGAGGTCATATTCATAAGAGAAAATTGCTATTCATAAGACCAAAACATACTATCTTTACAAAAGGAGGACCCAACTATCTTTTTCCATCCGTGAGATTTATATAGATTCACTTTAGGAAACATTATTGTTGCTTTCCATTTTTACCCTTCATTGTACGTAGTACTCCAATTTAAAAATAAAAAACAACTTCCGCAACTCATCCAAATCTCTCGTCTCATCGCACGCCCTGCAAGTATACTACGTCGACCCTTTCAAGAACTTTCAAACCCTTTGCTGTGACCACCAGTCCGGCCACGGAACCAGAGTACGTCTCCGACATCATGGCTTTCGTAATAGGATGCTTGATTACCTATGTTGCAGTGTTGCTTCATTGCGGAGTTTACGTTACCTACTATGCTATTGAGCTATTATTAGAACTTATTGTCTGTTTAATAACTACTTACTGTCTATGTATTGCCTGCTATTGAGCTATTATTAGAACTTATTGTCTGTTTACTGACTACTTGTTGTCTAAGTATTGTCTGGTGTTTGCAAGTTTGATTTTGGATCTGGTTTCTTCAAAAGTTTTGCAGAGTACCTGATGGCATTGTGCGTTAATGCATCTTCAGATTCGCTTACTCCCAAATTTCTTTTTCCGTTTAATCTTTCTGCAATTTTTTATGTTGAGAAGGTGAGGCCTTGCTAATCTGTAGATGTGGAGATGTGGTCTGCTACAGAATGGAGATGTGGTCTGCTATGGAATTTAAAAGCAAGGACAATTTGGTCAAAGCAGGTGTACTTAAGTCTTACACTAATCTGTATATTCTTAATTTTGGAAAATTAGTATGATGAGGTCCTACGTGAAATCTCCCTATTCATAATTACCACCAAATTCAAAAGGGGCATTTTGCAATTACTCCTAAATATTTACAAAAATGTCACCTTGTCATTATACGGGTGGGCAAAAATCCCGGTCCCGGTGTCCCAAACCAAAAAATATCGATACCGTTCCGAAACTATCCCTATCCATTTAGGACACAATTTTTTCATCCCGAACCGGTCCCGCACCGATATTAACCGGGATGGGACCGGGATAGCTATAAAATATCATGTCCCGTCCCGGTGTCCCGTTTGAATTAATATGTTGTTTTAAATTTCTAATGCTATGTAATACTCAAACACAATTAAAACTTTCTAGTCCTTAGTCTCCCTAGTGTAATTTTATCTTATTTCATGTCTCTCTTAGTCTCATTTCTTTTGTTTCTTTTGATTAAAATTTGTTTAGTTCTCATTTCAATACTAATCCATACGTAGTAATATATTATTCCGTTTGGAATACGATTTATGATGGAATAATTACTACTCCAAATTATAGTGTTGTTATAGATTTAATTTTTTCCAAAATAACTACTAGAAAATATGTATAGTGTCTTTATAGATATGGTATTTAATTTAATGTGGTATTGAAAAATTACAAGTATACTACAAAGTATATATAAAAATATTTTGCGCTATTATTCTACTAGACGAAACACAAGATTAGGGGGACCAAAAAAATTTACAAGACAAAAATTAGAAATAGTTAATTAAAGGTTTTACTTATCTTTTTTGAGAAGCTAAATTTGAAAAAATAGTTACGTTTTAATTTTGATGTTATGCTTATTTTTATATCACATTTCACAAACGTATATTTTATGGGACATCCCGAACCATCCTGGTTTTTCTCGGGTTGTCCCGATCCCGTTTTAAATGGGACAACATTGGGATAAAGACTTATCCCGTACCGTACCGGACCGTTGTTATAAGCCGAATCCCGGACCGTCCCGGACCGTGTCCACCCCTAGTCATTATTAGCCATTGATGATAAATATTAATGATGGAGATTAGACAAAAATTCTTATTTTAAAATGGATTCTCATTTTAAGAAGGGTTCTCATAAGAACCGTGACAATCAAGTAGGTGAGAAATAAGAATAGTAAAAACTTGACAAGTGTCAAGTAGGTGAGAAATAAAAATAGTAAAAATTATGTGATTGAGATTTGTAGACAAGAGAGAGAAATGTATAGAACCACAAATGAATTGCAACAAAAAATAAGACCTAAAATTATAAGACCAACATCCGTAACCTTCATTTTCACCAAGTGGGGCTGGACAGTGGGCACACAATTGTTAAATTACAAAACCAGAACAGCATATTCTGGCATTCGCCAAATCGGAAGTACTGCCCGCAGTTTTTCCAGAAAAAGTGTAATAATTCCAGAAGGCACAGTAATAAACAAAAGCAAAATAAGGAGAAAAATCCATCCCTCCTCAGCCACACAAAATGAGGTTCGTAAGGGAAAGAACAACACAGGAAACTGTGAAGAAGAACAGAGTAATCAAATCTCTGCCGGACCATTTCCTCACGGCCGCCTTACCTTCCATTCTCATACTCTTCGCTCTTCTCAGCGCATCCACCTCCTTCAACAAATCGAATTCCGTCCCTTTCTTCTTCAGCTCCTCCACGCACTTCCGTAAAAGCTTCCCGTCCTCTTTCTCCCGCTCCAGAAGCTTCTCCAGATGCGCCTCGGTGTCGGTCTTGTACCGTACCGCCCAGATCAGTCCCATGGAGCAGAGAAGGGAGCAGAGAGACGGGATCCACGATCGGCGGCAGTAGATCCCGGCCTCATTCGGCCGGGATCGGGCGGCGGAGCTGAAGAGGATCGTTAGGCAGAGGGAGTGGAAGAGGAAGAAGAGACAGCAGAGCTGCGTGATCTCCTTTCTGACGGAGTCGATTTGAGTCTCCTTCGCGACGATTCTGTTGAAGATCAGATCTTCTTCCTTGAGCCATTGCTTGAGGAGGAGCTTGTGGGTTGGGAGCTCGGAGATTTGGTGCAGTGGGTGAACGGTCTTCGCCTCCATGATTGAGGACGACTGTGTTGCGTTCTCAACATCCATCTCTGTTCAATTTTTCAACTGCGGTCTGAAAAAAATTGATGATCCACTTCATCAACTATCTATACATTCTCGAATTGTCATCCACAGGAATTGACGATCAGATCAGAAGAAAGATGGGATGATCGTTTGTGTAGGAAGACGGGTGAAAGAACAGAGAGATTTTGCTTAGTTTCTGATTTGATGATTGAAATTTGAAAATGCCTGATTTGTAAAATGGGTCAATGGTCCCGTATTTTATCAACTGAGTTATGGAAAGGTCTCAGATTTTTGGGTAACGGTCGAAATTTGTGTTGCCTGTTTGAACGGCAGCGAAATACCAACGGTTATATTCATTTTAATATACTCCGTAATTCCATATTTCAGACAGTGGAGGACCTAGGCCGGGGCCTACCGGGGCAAGTGCCCCGGCTTCCGGCCAGGAATTTCACTACTAGTACTTAGGATGTTTTTACTTGGACTGTAATTTGCTGGTCTGGTCTGGTCTGATCTGATCTGGTCTGGTCTGGTCTGAACTGGTCTGGTCTGGTCTGGTAAGGTCTGGTTTCTTTGTATTTTTATAACTATCCAAGTCTGGTCTGGTCTGGTCTGGTCTGAACTGGTCTGGTCTGGTCTGGACTGGTCTGGTCTGGTCTGGTCTGGGGCAAATTACAGTCCAAGTAAAAACATCCTTAGAGTAAAATAGGTGTCCCTGCTTCCGGCCAAAAATTTCACTACTACTACTTCGGGTAAAATTAGTGCCCCAACCAGTACAAAAAGTTACTAGTATTAGATAATCAAGATACTAAAATGTTACGGTTATATACTAAATTGTATTTGCTGATTTGGGGATTGTTTGTTTGCTTGAAATTTGATACTTTGGAGATTGTGAATGCGCTCTACTTAAGGATTAGGGTTCTAATTTGTAAGGTTTTTAGTTTAATTTTTAGACTTGATTGTATTTGTCTTTTTTATTAGAAACATGAGTTTGGATAACTTTGTAATTCGGAATAAGAGGTCATTAGCCCGAGGGGGTAGTTCTTCGAACGTTGTAATCAGTCTATCTCAAGTGATGCAAATGTTGTTGCTCCGAATGTAAGCATTGTCCAAGATGAGTCTAATGACACCAGGGGAGACAAAAGAGCTCGCACAGATAGTACGTGTGAGTGGGATATCATTAGCGATCCCGCATTACGAAAGCCAATCATTGAATATGAGCCTTGAGTAAGAGATGACGTGATGAGAACTTATGTCGGACCCCTAGTTGGAATATAGTATTTCTTAAGATGCTACATTTTGCTTTTCGTGTAACCTTTTCCATGGGTGTAGAAGGGAAGAGGTTTGGAGATGATGTATTTGTGAGGACCGGGTTTCGTAATTGGGAAAAAAGTCTTGAAACATTTAGAGACCATGTAAAACATAGAATTACTCACTTGTTTAGCATGTCTTGATCCTAGAGATAAGTTCTCCAATTTCTGTGAGTCAAAGCTACTGAACCTCGCGGAATTATATTCATGCGATTTTTCATCCATTGATCGAATGGAGCTGAAAGAGCAACTCCAGGTGTGTGGATATATGAAATGAGAACAAATGAATTATTTTATGCCATACAGACTATTGGTG